CAGGTCTAAGCTTGTGATGTTAACAAAGGCAAGATGCGGCATCAGGGGCGTCGGAGACGCTAAGGTCACTACGGTATTGACCGTAGCACTATTTGCCGCGGGCCCCAAGTACCCCGTGAATCAATAAAATGCACAGATTTGGGCTCTAAATTTCAAAACATTTGCTCAGCCACCCCTCCCCGACGAGTAAATTGTACTTGAGATGGCTGACCATACCACCGTGACTTAAATACCTTCCGACGCCCCCTGTGTATGTCACCAACCTTGCGAAATCATGTTGCAGTCCCGGGCTAATGTAACGTCAGCGCAGGCTACAAGCATACACAGCACCACTAGTGTGCGACATGTTGCTAGCACGGTTGCGGATTGCTCACACCACTTCATAATGTGCAGACGCTGCAGCAAGGAAGGTAGGGTTCTGCACGGTGCAAGGAGCAATAGGAAGTCACTGCCGAGTTGAAGTTGGCTGAATGGTAGAGTGCCTGTCGAGTTGCATTGTGCTTTTCCTAAATTGATGTCATGTCATCCACCGCAGCTACAATGAATCGAGCAAACGCACATTCCCGCATATACACACACACACACGCGCGCGCGCGCACACACACACACACACACACACACACACACACACACACACACACACACATGCAAACACACACATGGTGGTCATGAACTATACATTTCCTATTCCGCAAGACGCCACCAGGTGTCAGATGCAAATCCTAAGCAGTGGGGGTGGGGGAAGAGGATAGATCAGATCCCCTGTCCATCCATAGGCTGGAATCTCATCAGCTGCACCCATCCCATGTTGGTAACCTCACATGTGATGTACTTGTACTTAGTTGAAGTAAAGATTATCTTTAAATTCTCATCTTATATTGACTATTAAAAGAAGAGGTTTAAAGTGAAACAATTGCATGGAAAAATCGAGACGAAGTAAAAGACTGAGTCAATGTTAGAGTCTTGTTGAGGCCCATATCTCCCACTATGGCGGGGCATTTTCAACCCCAGGAATGGATTTATTATAACAATGTTCACCTCAGAGAGCAAGGTGGGCGGAGGGGGGGGGGAGGGAGAGGGAGGGAGGGAGGGAGGGAGAGGGAGGGAGGGAGGGAGGGAGGGAGGGAGAGAGAGAGAGAGAGAGAGAGAGAGAGAGAGAGAGAGAGAGAGAGAGAGAGAGAGAGAGAGAGAGAGAGAGAGAGAGAGAGACGGGAAGAAGCAGAGAGACAGCGACACACAGCGATATGGGGAGAATATAAATCCCTCATTTCCTGTTCTCCCCATATCGCTATATTATGTGTCCTGGCTATCATGGTCGACCTCATTCTCTCCAGGGTAGACCTACCTTTCCACTTCCAGGAAGCCTAAAAGATAATGAAGAAGATTGAGTGAGTAGAACTGAAGTTATGATCCTAAGAACACAAAAATGCATAATTTTGAAAATTTCCTAGGGCTCTTTAGAAATACAAATACAAAGGATTGCTTGCGATTCGGTTTGAAACCCCCCCCCCCCAGAGGTGACCATGCGTACGCGCCTGGATTATGCGATACACCTTGATGCAATGTTGGTGGTGTTAAACGTAGAATCTATGAACGAGAGAGAAACTAGACTACAGGTGATATAGGAACTGAAAAGGGACAATAAGATGGTTTGCTGCTTTGCTTTGGCAACCGTACACCAATATTACTTGCTCATACATGTGTGCTTCTCCGGGGCTGTTCCGTCATGCCCCAGGCAATTTCTTTCACTGAACGATCCGATGTGAACGCACTTCTCCAGCTCACATACAGACTACCCAAACCGCGACGTAACACAATACAAAACAACACAGCTGATATAGCAATGGATGATCGATCGCTCAAGTTCTTACTTGTTTCATAACGATTCTGACGTTACAACAAGGACTACGGTGGTATCGTGTACACACAAGCACCACAATAGTGGATACCTTGTAGACACGAACGCGATCCGCGTGCTGGCGGTCATCAAAAACGCAACATGCAGGGACCGGTGGACTTCGTCAGCTGGCGAGCGATCCGAGCAAGCCTCGAGATACTAGTGTCCTAGCTATTGAGCGTTTTGTAATGATAACTAATACTTGGCCGACTCAAAGGAGGACTGGGCGCAAACGTCTTGGTTCGAAGACAACACACCGTTCGAATCGAGGTGACCATTTCCCTGTCCACAGTTGGCGCGAACGATCCTAAGCTCCAAAAGCAACACCAACATTTCGATCTTTCTTGTTGCGAAATGCTTACGTCTGGGGGCAATACAAGGCCTAGACAATACAGCATAATTATTCTGATACCTTAGTCCGCCGAGAGAATTCGCGCCATCCCTCTCCACAACGTGCCAGCGGAAGACAGTGGCACAAACCACAACATCCTAGCCCCCAACACACGCCACTCGACAGGGCACAAAGGCAAAGGGGCGTACACCGCGCTGCGGCTCGCACCTCAAACCACCCGATGACCACAGTCACACCTAAAACTTCGAGCT